CCTTCAGCATGGCCCCAATTCCCTGAGCACCTTGCAAGGCAGATCAACCCTCCTACTACCTTTCTGATCACATCTGATGCTTGATGGATGCCAAGTGAAGCCGGCAATTAATCCATCAGCCAGGAACGGGCGTATACACAGTCTCTCATTGGTCAGAACTCCGATCAGTTCGGGGGCCAGGATTTAACCCTGGTCCCCTTAATTGTTGCAGAACAACAAATCTCCGACACGGACTACTCACTATTAGCTAAATACGCCCCTTAATGGGAGATGAATCAAGGCCAAACCTTGTTCTGACTCGTGGAGGATGCGACGGATTTCTCGGGCGGTGATATGCCGGGTGAACAGGGTAAGCTGCAGGTTACCCGTTAGGGCGCCTCGCTTGGCGAAGCGAGATGAATTCCTGCAGACTACCCGGGTCGACGCCATAGGGCCCTATGGGTGCGGAGAAGATATATTAAACTTGTATGTACGAAAAGTCAAAGCCCGTCCCATGTTGCACTCGAGCTGCAAGGTGATGGAGCGTTCAGCGGGATATCCTGGCCGGTGGCTTAAGCGGACAGTATTATTTACCGCATGCCCAGGCCGAGAAACTATTTTAACCGAAAGCTCGCATGATTGTGAATATCACATGCATTTATTTCAAAGAGCCGTTCGCTGATTCCAGTCACCCATCCGACCGGAGTAGGGCCTCAGCGCATCCCATACTGCTTGCGAGACTGCGGGAGAGATACGCGCGGCTTGGCTGAAGCGCTGACACATGCGCGATTTATAGTTCAGAAATTAATCAAAAGAAATATTATATTGCAGAAATAGTTGTCTATAATTCTTCTTCTATCGAATGCCAGCCTCGATGAAGCAAATTGCAGCTCTCGGATATTCCCTGCCGTGGTCATTACAACTGGTGTTTTCGGACCGTCCATGCAAGGATCGATCCTAGAAGCGAAAGGACGAGGGAAAATACTAGCAAACTGTCAATAAGGAGGTATGGGGAATATACCAAATTATACAACTCACGATAAGTGTAGCGGAGACCAGCCACATATCCTTTTACCACTACATCTCGGACATGACCCTGCAAGCCATTGATATAGCTCGTATCGGACAGCGCGCGCTCGATGATCTTTGAAAACCGTCAGTAAATACCTTCAGAAAGGAGAGGAGATACACACTTTCTTGGCCCCCGGGCCAGTCAGATGCTGTTCCATCTGGCGCTTGAAAACAGTCCCCAGCAGACTGTTGGTGACAGTCACACCCGCCGTCATGGCGAAGCTGAAGAGTAGGAAATAGCCTCCTGTCGCCATGGCGACTTCCTGCGGCATCAGAAACGCCGTCATACTGACGAAAGCAGCCGCTGAGCAGAAACCAGTACCCATACCACCGGGAATAATGTACAAAGACTCCCAGAATCCAGTGTGACCGTTCCAGCGGAGGAAAAGGAGTAGATAGGCGATAGACGCAACGAGACCGGCAAGAATCAAGAGGACCTTGAACTGGCCGGTGCGACGGATGAAGGCTCCCGCGATCAAGCCTCCAAGCGTGTTCCCGATCACGGCGGGAACTAGATGCCCTCCAGCTACGGTGGCTGAGGCTTTCGATGTCACCTGAAAATATAGCGGCACGGAGAACATCATTCCAACTTGGGCGGTGATCTGCAGCGATCCGATCAGGTAACTGGGCGTCACATTCGGCTTCCGCAGCATGCGAAGTTCGAAGATCGGCTCCGGGGCTACATAGAGTTCAACAAGAACGAAGGCGACAAATGCTGACAGACTGAGAGTTGCGAGGATTGCCGTTGACAGTGATGCCCATGCGAAGGACTGTCCTGCTTGGTCCATAATAACTGTGATTGTGATAATACCAGTGGCAAGAAGAAACGTTCCGAGAAAGTCGACACGGCGGATGCTCTTCTCAGTGACTGGATGGGCAAGCTTGAGTTTCCATACCACCAACAAAGCTGCCATAGCGGCCAAGGGCCCCTGGATTATAAACGACCTTGACCGCAAGTTAGCGAGAGAAGCGGCTACAGAGGCGCAAAGCATACCATCTCCATCCGATTGTATCAGTTAGCCATCCGCCCACTGGGCCTCCTGCGCTACGACCCAGAGTCATCGCGATGTTGATGTACGCCCGCCAATGGGCAACATCTCGGCGGGGAACAATATCTGCCATGTTCAGTGACGGTTCGTCAAGCTGTTAAGCGTTAGCCTACCTGTGATAATGATCGATCCCATCGCCATTGTTCCAGCACCCCCAATTCCGCTGATTGCACGTCCCAAAATAACAGTCGCCATATCTGGGCCAATACCGCTAGAGCAACCACTGTTAGCACGATCCAGCCTATCGGCATCTAAGAAAGAAGCCTACCTGATAACACATCCCACGCCGAAGAAAAAATACGCCCAAAGTAGCAGTGGCTTGCGACCGTAGATGTCACTCAGCTTACCGTACTATATGTCACCGTCAGTATATCCCGATCTTCCCGAATATTGTATGATAGCTGACCATCGGTTGTGCAGCGCATAATCCCAAGGTGTACGCCGTTGACAGCCAACTCGCATCGCGCAGTCGATTGAACTCAGAAGAGATTCTGCCTGTTGCCGCCATGACTAGTGTTGCGTCCGCGTTGGAGATGAATTCACCTAGACGATTGTCAGTCTGACTGAGCGAAAAGCCTAACAAGACCGTAAACCCGACATACCCAGCAACAACACGCCAATCACGGTACTTATACTGGTCAAAGCCGTCACATCTTTCCCAGGCGACTCGGGTGGATTGATCAACGGCTGTTCCTCATCGCTACCATGGCTGCTGTGCACGTCGCTAGTGAGCCCTTTTGTTATGCTGCTGTAGTCCGGGGTGTTTGCGCTGGGAGTCGCATGCTGCGCCGAAGAATTCAGGGGTGTTCTTTCATCGATATTCGCGTCCAGCGGATCTGGACTAGAAGCTGAGACGGCCATTATATCCGGGATCTCTGGCGTGTTCGAGGAGGGGTGTTGAGAACGTCACGAAGCCGGGAGTTGAAACCTTGCGTCGGCAGCATGGAAGTTCGGTGAGAGATAGAGTTACGGGCAGCAGGTGCTGATATGTTTTCTTTTCCCGGACCCTGCTTCGGCTGCGGGAAAAGAAATAATCTGTCCACGCAGTCATCCATTCCGATATTTCCGCTTATCTGGGGAATCTGGACCCTCCAGGAGCGAGTTCGAAGCATCAGTATTGGCTGGTGAAAGTGTCACTCAGAGCATAAGCGATGACACCATCGGGGGCAGATATACGATCGAGGGCTGCTAAACCGCATGAGGGAAAGCGAGTGCACGGATGGGTCAACGGACTGGGGCTATAATAGGGGAAGAAGCAGAAGCGCAAATGAAGTGGTGGAAGAACCAAAGTTGAGCTCATTGAAGTGGAGCAGCACGCCATGGCTGCTCCCGATGGCGAACCCATGGTGGGTGGGTGGCCTTAGCGCCTGGACCGTCAGGAACACCCGACATTCGGCTGTCAGTCATTCAACTCGACATTGGAAGCATGTCAAAACAAAGGTTAGTTATAAGCTTGAATGAGAGGAGATGTATGTCATTATTCAAAAATCCGTGGGACTGTTGGAGGTGCGACCGATGGCGACATTCCGCTTTGATCACGTGTGTACTTTGTACTGCCAGCAAACCATCTATACCAAAGGAGTTTTGTCAAGCTTAGTCTGGAATGCAATGTCATGTCGACGCATTCTCGCTGCATACCCCTTATTTACTCTCATCAACCCAATAGTATATGCCGAGAACGTCGACTATTGTTATCATGAGAATGGACTGAAAACAACATTGGTACCATGTTACAGGATGATCTGTAAGAAAGATATCATTGTCCGACCAAGCCGATTCGTTGGCTGGGAAGAGCTCTCTAGATTTGGCCGTAGTAGTCTCCCTCCATCGTAGAAGAAGATCGCCTAAACAGATCATTGATCATGGCAAACTGCTATATTTTCACCCCCAATAACCTCGTCTGAGACAATCCAGCTGGACCAATCCGATATACCTCGCCCAGACCCCAGAAACAAAGAAGTTCGATACTGTTGGGTTATAGTCCTCATCTTTGCCGGATCGTCTACCGAAATCCTGTCTTGGCCAGGTTGTTGATCCGTTCCCTCGTTTGTTTCAGGTGGAGAAACCTTATCCCCTCATGGATACTTATGACTTCAGTTAAATTAATAAAGAACTTAAGCAGATCAAGCAGGATGGCGGCAACGGTATATGCTCGCAGCCCATAGGGGCGGGTGGGAGATGAGATACGGTCCCTCAAGTGAGAAGTAGATTCACAACATCACATCACCCACTAGGGCTAATGGGCAGAGGCACTAAGACTGAGAAGTGATATAATATTGTAATGTAACCAATTAAGCCCTTGGACAACACGAGAATAATTAAAGAGGATTTTCTAGATTTATCGCATAGCGGAGTCCATGAGCTGTTGGTCGTAGCATTTGAAAAACAGAATAGCGCGGAGTCAGTCCCCTGAGAACCTTGCCAGGAACCTCTGAAGGAACAGTCTGTGACATATGCGTGTATAAACCGGCTTATGCCCACGGCGATGCCCAGATGCTCCTTGATCTCTGGAGCTTAACAGATGGATCTCGGATTTAGTCTTTGTGCAGGGAGTTGACCCACCCAGTACCCGCCAGCTTGTCATATTGGGTGCTGACGCAGTAGTTGTTAGTAGGCAGTGTTAACTATAGCCTGTTCCTGCTGACACAAGGAGATAGGCTAGCCTATTCATGACTTCACGGGGTGTCATCTGCTTAATATTTTAACGAAGCTACTATGCAGCATCTTGGAATGACTGGTGAAAGACAATGGACGGTGTGGAGGGTAGACGCCTCAGGCGACCAGATGACATTCTTGGCGGCGTCTGTGCTCACGCGTCGATCTCTGCCTTTTCCTTTCACCCCCCAGTTATTCAGCCGAGGTCTTCCTTCAACCTTGCAACTATCAACTTCGTGCGACATCCCTTCTTTCAACGACTAGACATCCATCAACCTTCCCATCTCATCTCACCATCGCCTCTCACTGTAAAATGGCAGACATCACGATAACAGAGAGCGAGTTTAAACTCGCGGACGGAACCGTCCTCTACCAGAAGACCTGGTCGGTAAGGGCACACACCCTCAATCACATGTCAAACATCCCATAAAGTCACCGATATCCTAACCTCTCCACCAGCCCGCTGCCCCCAAGGCCAAACTAGTACATTTTCATGGCTTCAGCGACCACATCAACAGCTACAATAACTTCTTTCCCTTACTAGCACGCCGTGGTATCTACTGCACAGGTATCGATGAGCGTGGCTGGGGCCGATCGGCCCCGAAAAAGTCCGACCGGGGAAACACAGGGCCTACCTCCTTGGTCCTGGCCGACATGGCCGCCGTCATCAAGGACCAGCAGACTAACGTCTTCCCTGAGCTCCCCTTGTTTATCAATGGTCACTCCATGGGTGGTGGATTGGTGGCTACTCTCGCCTCGACCAAGGAGTATCAGCCGCTGGTGTCCTCACTCCGCGGAATTATGCTTTCGGCTCCGTTGATGGGTCTCACTCCCGAACAGACTCCTAGCTGGATCACGGTATTCGTGGGCCGGCTGGCAGGCAAGCTTCTTCCCCGCTTCCAGCTCGTGGAGAAAATGCGGGTAGAGACGCTGGTGCGCGATCCGGCAGTGCAAAAGAGCCTTGCAGAGGACCCGTTGAACCATGCCACCGGCACACTCGAGATGTTTGCCAATATGCTGGACCGTATGATGGAGCTGGATCAGGGCAAGTTGACCCTTGTTGATGGAGTGCAGTCGGTCTTTCTCGCCCACGGAACTGGGGATAACTGCACCAGTTATGATGCGAGTAAGAGATGGTTTGAGCGCGAGACGGCTCGTTTCCCTGAAACGGCGAAGATGCACAAGTCCTACGATGGATGGAGCCATGTTTTGCATGCCGATCTGCCGGAGACTTACCCGATTTATGCGGAGGATATGGCTACCTGGATCCTTGAAAAGTCTGAGGCTTAGCCACTCACTTCTTAGAAGAGGGAGCACATGCCTCCATACGCGGGGCGCTGCCAATTGGCAAGTCTGAAGTGTCAGCTAGCATCATCGTTCGCACAATTGTTGCATCTGGCATTACCGTTGGCCGAACTTTATCATCTCGGGTCTATAGTATATATTATTTAGTACGTTTGGGTCGTGCATTCTTTGGTTGATCTTTTCTTCATTTCGGGGTTATGGTATATATCATGATTTAATGTTTTGGGCGATGGATCAACAGTGCAGCTCACCAATTCATGTCATCAGAAGTTTAGAACAAACAGCTGGAGCTGGCCTGTCGAGAACTTTTAAGATCACCGAGCGGTGTAGGGCCGTGTGGCTGTGCCTGACTAGAAGACAAAGAGAGTGTAGATCCCTCTTTCACCAAAGTTTCACAACACGAAGCCAGAGACAGACTAGCAGCAAGATCCCGTCAAAACCAAGGCAAAGGATGCCGGCTAGAGTGAAAGGGGAAACGCAGACCCTTAAAAGTTGCGGCTAAAATGCTGCTTACTGCTTCTGGTCAAGCTTTGGACCCCACAGGACCCCTCAGCCTCGTTCCGTTTTCTTTCAAAAGAATGCCGTAGGGTCTGGATTGTCTCCTGTCAACAATCTCAGAGTTGTATGATTCTTCTTCAAAATGCCTGTTCACAACCCGCTTCCCTCATCTTTACGAAGTACGTATTGATTTACTTTGATGTTGGCCTGAATGTTATGAATCGTCTCAGCTCTACGACAATCTGCAAAGGCACCATTCATTGCGTAACTCGAAACTAACAAAAGTTACTTGACAATCAGGCGAATGCGAAAAAGCAGCTCAGATCATCAACTCTTTCACAGATCCCGATGGCTTCAATAGCCCGGGACGTACCATCCCACGAAAGCTACTCGCTAGTGCCAAGGTATGCATTGAATAAGTGCTCGCGTCGCCACTACCTTGACTCACATTTCAAAGGGTCTCGCCATCCTCACAGTCGCCAAAGCCGGGTTCCTAGGGTCAGTGCGCCTTGGCTCTGGTATCCTCGTTGCACGTCTACCCGACGGGTCCTGGTCTGCCCCATCAGCCATCGCGTCCGTGGGAGGTGGCTTCGGTGGACAAATCGGTGTTGAATTGACAGATTTTGTGTTCATTCTGCAGAGCGACCATGCAGTACAAACGTTTGCAAAGCTGGGAAGCCTAACTCTGGGGCTCAATGTCTCACTGGCAGTGGGACCGGTCGGGCGCAGTGGAGAGATTGCGGGCGTCGTAAGCACCGGTGGTGTCATGGGAATTTTCTCGTTCGCGCAAACCAAGGGCTTCTTTGGTGGCGTGAGTGCAGAGGGGGGCATTATTTTTGAAAACAGGCTCGCGAACCGAAAACTGTACGGGGATATTGTCAAGGCACGGGAACTGCTAAGCGGCGACATCCCTCCGCCTGTTGAGGCTAACAGGCTTATGCAAGCGTTGCAATCCGATGTCTTCTCTGGTCATAGGTCAAATTTTGATTGTGAACAGGCATCAAAGGAGCCAACTGCGGAGACGGTTGCCATGCCACCGCAGTCACCCTCGTCTGAGGTAGCTGAACGAGTTGCTGTAATGTCGTCTGTGGCGCCTAGCGAAATTCATGAGGCACCGCCATCGGAGATCTCTCCTGTCGAGTCACCGTCAGTAGCAGTGGCACCACAGAGACCAGTTGAGCTGCCTGGTTCGATCCAAGAGCTGGACTCCACGCCTGCACAACCCAGACCTGCGGATCAGCATAGCCCCGTTTCTGCTATCTCCACTACTCACAATACTTGATACCCTTGACTAGCACTCGGAGAATGGACTCCGCAGATGCTTTATGTAAATTGCCGCCCATGCATGACAGCAGCAAGGCTAGGCTGTTTCTGCTGTCGGAAGCCATGATACAAGGGCGCTTAATTAGGAAACTCGCAGACGGGGCCAGATATTCGCGTCGATTACAGCTGATTAGCGACGACTTTACACCTGCTAATATACAAGCATGAGAAAGGGAACTGAATAATTAGCAACTACGAATCTAATACTTGGAAATTTAATGTCTATTCTACCTTTATACCACACGGGTCCTTAATAATAATAATGCGCATGCTGAATAATCTTCGGGGCTAAGATACGTTCCAATTACTAGCAAACCACTAATATATCATTCATATAGAAAGGGTAAAATATCAAACTCATTGACTAGTAAGTTCGCAAGGTTTCTCTTCTAATGAATTATACTATTGCTATTAAGGAACTAGAAACAAATAATAAACTTAATAAAAGTAAGTATAGGAGAAAGCATTGGTTGGACTTATTTATAAATTAATATATCATTTCCATGATTATCTATATTATTTTTTATCTCTTCTTAATTAGTATTACTTTGTGGTATTGAAAGTGGGACGTGAAGATCCACCTGGAATCACGAGATCAAATATGTTTTCATCTGCTGGTACTACTAAGTAGGCATGGACCAGTATTTATTGTTTATTCAGGGATGGTCTTACTCGTATTAAAGTTATAAAAGAATAGAATGAATAGCTACCTCTCCTGATATAGCACCAGAAATATCTTCAATACAATTTGGCTGGTGGTGATAAGATCCCGCTACAGCTTCTTAATGACTAAAGCCGGGATGAGTCAATCATTACCAGGGTGTTACTTCCATGACATTCGCACCTCTAAAGAATAGAATAAAAGTATGACAGCAAGGATTGCGAGGCTCAAGTCGAAATCCAGGAACACATCTTGGTTGGTCGGGGTAGTCCAATAGAATTTACGGGTGATGTTACTTTGTCCCACCTACGGGTATCACACCGTTTCACCAACCCTACCCGGCGCAACATGCCGATTCGATGTACGGGTTGCAACGTGCCAATGTAGCTGGGATAGCCGCCCCTAATTGTGGTAGTGTAGAGCTAGATTTAGTCAGTGACTGTGAACAAAGAAATTCCGGTTTCTTCCTGTCCCGTTGGTTGGAATTCGATGCGTTTCGCGTCTACTGGTTCTCTTTATCTCTCATTCTCTTACCGCAACATCTCACACTGCACTCTACGATCGGGGTGAATATTACTGGAATGTATATTGTACCAATAATGTCTATTCACGTTTAGAGGCTACCTATTCTCATAGCCAGGTTAATCACATGACGTATTCACACACCACCACGTGAGGCTTGCTTCCTGCCAGCGCTGGATCATTCTTTGGAAGGGGGTATGGTAACACTAGCAATTGAATATGCAGTAACTTTCGTTAACATATTATTCACCGTTCAGGTCGCGTTGTTTGAGGATCGGTGAGGGAGCTGGCAGACATAGCCATTGTGATCAGAACCTCCAAAGATCACAAGGATTAGACCCTTTCCCTTACAAAGATCAGAAGTTCCTATACGTCGCTCAATCAGCACTTTAACACCATGGGCTCTATCGCGAAGGAGACCTTGTATCTCCCGGTTGTTGTGGTGGACGAGATCATCGAGTATCTCGACCTGGAAACCATCAAATCCCTTCGATTGACCGACAGAACATGGAGCCAACTATGCTTGGGCCCACGCTTCAAATCCTTTATGCGCCACCAATCTACTGATCTGGCCCCACGGAGTCTGAAGTCCCTCAGTGCACTCTCCCGCCATGACATCCTGCGCCCAGCTGTCAAGGATTTGACCATAGTCGCCGCAGTCTACGACAGTTTTCTCCTCCAGAAGGTTCTCAGAACCAGCCGATGCGAAGATGAAGATAGTATTCCCTGGATAACAGCAAGAGATTGTACACTGGATGAGGTGGTCCAAGCAGAGGCAGATCTAGCATGGTTGGAGGAAGAGTCCGCGAGACACCAACTCGCCCATGAAGATCACGCCGTGCTGACTCTGACAGCCATATTAAACAATTTTGGAATGCTTAACTTCATTGCTATGGAAGCCAAAGTCATTTATTCACCACGGCCAGATTTATTCAGGTCCCGAGGTGACTGGCATGCTGTTTGGTGCAAAGCAACCCAGGTCTATCACATAGCCATGTCTGCTATTGCAAAAAGCACCATCGAACTCAATAGCCTCACAATATTCAAAAGCCCAATACGCTCAGCCATTCCAACCAACGAAATAACCGCCCAAATGCTTACCCTCGACACAGCCGCTTGTCACTTTACCTCGGGTCAGTCGATCAGGAACTTTTCAATAGATCTATCAACGCGAGTAGATGCTGATCCAGAGAGACTATCGAAACGGAAAGCCGAAATGGAACGATGGGAGCGTGAAACCCGCCGAAGCTGGCACGGACTCAGGCCGGGAGCTCTTCTTGCGAGTCATGATCCCGAAGTGAACTTTGAGAACAACTATCCTGGCGTCGCTCGATTACTGCAGAACATGCCAAACCTAGAAACCTTGACCCTTAGACTCCGTTGTACAGTGATTGGGGATGTAAGCCTATACCATCGGCTGTTTGAAAACATTGCTAGCAAGGTCCGTCTTCCACGGCTGAGGAGACTCCATCTGCTCGGTATCTACGCCACTTCAGACTCCCTGATAGAATTCCTACGCAACCATCCCGATATCGAAATACTGTGGCTCGAGAAAGTGAACCTTGTCTCTGGGTTATGGGAGCCTGTCTTCACGCGCATCAGGGAGATGCCGTCTTTGACGAGGGTTGTTTTGGCGAGTATTTCCGAGGCAGGTCAGACTTTGAATCTAAGACCAGCCGAAGACAATGACGACCGCAGTGACCCGAGCAATACAGATTACTATTTGTGTACAAGGGGTGTCTTTGTTCACAGACGTGAATTTGACCAATGTGATATCCAGAATGGATTTCAATTTAGCACAGAGTATCAGGGTGCACCCCAGGGAACACACGGATTCACTTCATTTCTTGTATTTGACCAGGAACATTATGGACTCCCTTAGTTAGGCTTTAGTGCTTCTACAGTTTCATCCGTATGCATACACCGAAGCAATACAATCTTTCATTTTGCTTTAAAACTCTTCGATTGATCCTCCTTGTCCACTTCTATCATTGCTAACCTTAAAGAGATTTTTGGCTCTAGTGTAACCACATAGCACCAAGGATTAATGGTCTTGCGCAAACAGTATCTTCCCCACAAACAACCGTTTCACTAGAAAATGCATGTCTGTCTCGGAAAGGTTTTATGAGTGTCAAAAACTCAAAAAAGATCGGGCCCGAACCGCGATTCGAACGCGGGGCCTCCTGCAATTCAAATCCCGAAGCAGGAATCATACCACTAGACCATCCGGGCTGATTTGAAAATTTATAAGCTGTATATGCTTTATACGCAGGGAGAGAAAATAGTAAGCTAGTTACAACAGAAGCTGTCTGGAAGCGACAGACAAAACCGGGTAAGACAAGAAATGTAGGTTTTCTAGCCTGGACAAATCCGAAAAAATTATCACCCTGGCTAAGGGTAAAATGGCAAGCAAGGCATTTCTTGTTAGTCATACGTGCAAATAGTAACATTATGTTCGACGATATGCACAAACACAATGTCAGAATTTATTCTCAACTACAACAGCTACATCCTTTCCCTTGTCGAGCATAGTGTGATGAAAAGTACCGGTCAAGGTGGCGTTCCAAATGACCCTTACATCCTGTAAATATTTCCTGATTCTATTCTACATGATGCTGGAATGACCTGGTAGTGTGTGCATCATGCCATTGGGGTTTTAGGTTGGGGGCCGATTCACGTCTCGCGGCAATATGAGGCATTCACCAAAGCTGGAATCGGTAATTAACTACACTCCAATGACTATTTTCAACCAATCCATTTCGCTCGCAAACTTGAGTTAACTCGAGCCCTAATTAACCCTCAACGAATGCTTGAATATCGTTAATTCCAGTAAGATTCACGGCTTTCCCTGTGCGTAGCTGTCGCTTATACCTATAAGCCAGTGCTACGATCGGCACAAACCGTTCACAACTACCCAGTATGCTTGGCAAATACATTCTAGAAGATGAGCCAGCTGCGCAGAGATCAGAGAATGCTTGGACATATAACCCCAGACGGGGTCTGCGATCGCTACTTAAGAAAGACTTCCCGAAGTTGTTTCTTAGCCAAGATCGTCTCCTGCAAAGTTCAAGATTTAACTACGACGACTTCATTCCTACCTTCAACATGGAATGCTCTTCTTCTGCAGCAATGACCCCGGAGTCTAACGTCTCCTCCTCCGTTTCAACCAATGATACACTGTTGTCAGCAATGTCGAAACTATCAATGGAAGAAAAGAAGGGTCAGAGTACTTCGAAAGCCCTGAACCAGGAAGACTTACTAAAGAGACTTCAGGCAAAGTGCCACTCACCGGCTCGTCTGAGGACCGAGGGCTTGGTCACAACTCCATGTCCAAAATCAGACAGTCCCCAATGGAAGGGGATAATCCGCTTGGACCTGTTCAAGCGCACACTGGGTGGCCATAATCATCACCACAAGGGCAAACCTGGCAATCGCACAGCTAGAGACGCAGTGGTCATTGACTGTGAAATGGTGCAAGCAGAAAAAGGACGGCGAGTTATCGCCTATCTCGCTGCCGTGGACTTTCTAACCGGTGAAGTCCTCGTCGACAGTTACGTTGATCCCCAGAGGAAAATATTCAACTGGTGTACTCGCTACAGTGGAATCACGTTTAGAGCTATGAAGAAGGCCAAAGCTAACGGCGATGCCTTGCGTGGGTGGATGGGGGCGAGACGGGCCCTGTGGGACTATATTGATAGTGATACCGTGCTGATTGGGCACGATATAAAGAATGATTTGAACTGCCTCGGGATGATCCATTCCAAAATAGTCGACTCGACTATTCTAACGGCAGAAGCTGTGTTTAGGCCGAGATGGGAAACCCAGCGATTTAGGAGGACTTGGTCGTTGAAGACGCTGTCGAGGGTGTTCCTCGATAGGTCTATCCAAGATGGTTCTAAAGGGCACAGTGCGCTGCAGGATGCTGTTGCCACGAAAGATATCG